AATTTTTTGTTTTGTAAGCAAAATTTGTGAAATCCTCTCCCCCATTTTGATTTTCATTTTTTACGAGATTTTCTCCAAAATAATGCTCTCTCTATCAGCTTATCGCTACCATGATTATTACTGGATGGAAGGAGAAGAAAGACAAAGCATATTTCACATTCTCAGAAGCCTGTGCAAAACATGATCCTAAAATTCCCTTTCCCCTTGCATGAAACTGTGAATTTCTTTGTAATTGCAATTATTAAAGGGCTCCAACATAGGGAAATTTTTGCTGCCAAATTGGCTTTGAGAAGAAGAGATCCTCTTTCCATCCCATAGCCATTCCTTTCTCCCACGGTGTGATGAGTTTTTTCTGTACTCAAATTCCGTGAAATGTCTATGTCTGTTCATGCAATCCAAGTCTTGTATTCTGCAGCACCTGAGTTCTTACAGTTAGGTAATGTGCCGCTCTTTCCCGGAAATAGTCTTCCCTCCTCAGAGTCTCCCGCAACGTGTTCATACTAACAGATATGTAATCGGCTTGTGGTACACAGAGAGGGCAATTTGAGTGCGATTGAAACCATGTATCAATACAAGCTAGGTGAAAGGCATGAGTGCAATTGGGCAGATGTTTAATCCAGTCCTCTTCTTCGAATTCCCCCAAGCATATAGCGCACTCGGTGTTGCTTCGGGACCTTCCTCTTTGTCTTTATGTTTGAATTGAGAAATGGGTAGGGATTGTGTAATGGAGTATTCCAGTCTCCGGCTGTAGATTTGTAGACAAGGGTCATAGGTGTTGGCCTCGTCCAGCCGTCTCCGTTGAGCTCCGTCTCTGGAGACTCTTGAATTGTTGTTGGAGCAACAGAGGCGGATTCGTACCCTGAAGTAGCTGAGTAGGAGAAAGATGGTACAGAAGACAGCTAAAGCAGCAATCACATAATTATTTCGCGGTGGAGGTGGCGGAGGTGGGTGTGAAGGTGGTGACCTCAACCACCACTGAGGAGCTGGAGTTGCGGCTAGAGAAGGGGAAGGGGAAGGGGAAGGACTTATAGGCATTCTATGATTGAAAATAAATCGAACGTGAAAATGAGTGCAAAAAGATTCAGAGGCTTTCAATGAAAAAAATTTGGTGTATTTGTAGGAGATTCCATGAACGGCTAAACACAGCAAAGAGACGCAAACATTTGAATTTGTGGATAATATTTAGAATACATTATATGTAAAGCACTAGGAACTTCAAGGCTTTTGTTCCCAAGCTAAGATGATATCAATCCAAACTTTGGATTTTACAAGAACAAAACTAAAAAGAAGGAAAATTTGAAGAAGACAATCAAAGAAAACTACGTTTAAATGTTGGATAGCTATATCATTCAAACCCTCCAAAAAAGAGTATCTCATTTACATCACCAACCCTTTGAAGTTTGTTTTCCAGAAGAATAGCAAACTCCCCCATTTTTTCACTCATTGAATTCTTTGGCGTTTTACAGTTGGTACTTGTGTACTAACAGCAGCACTTGCAGTAAGCGTCACCGTACCTACTCCCGAACCAGGGGCAGAACTCGAAAAATTCAACATAGATGTTGAGCAAAGATGAGGATGGCCTCGAGACATCTGAATATGTGATGAATTCAGTGGTTTTTGAGCAATGCTATTTGGGTTTGGAACTGGTTTTGGATTCTGGTTAACATTGTCTGCATTACATCCTTTAATGGAAACAGGTGGAAGTTTGAGAGGTTGTAGAGGAGGAGGGTTTCTCCACCGGGGAAGGGGTCCAGTAATAAGAATGGTCTGAAGGAGAGGCCCAGCTTCTATGACGGCCTGCAAAAGTTTCCCCTTTTCTGGTAAAGGTTTTCCCTTTGCAATAGCATCAATTAGAGCAATAGCGGGATCATTCTTGTTCACTCCTGAGGAGACTAACCCTGATGACATAGAGCCTTTATACTCTTGAAAAAGGGGCTGATTCACTATCCTCATCTTGCTTGAATCAGCCATATTGATGCTTGAGAATTCTGGTGAAGTTGCTGCATCAAAAAAGGAATCAACTGGGGAAGAGCCATGAGATTGATGATTATAGGTATCAGATAAACTGTTCAGGCTATTGGACTCAGTTATGCTTGAGTTTGCCTTCGCATGCGTGAAGAGAGGACTCCCAAGTTGGGTATAGTGGGGAGCACGAAGCAAGTCATTAGGACTGGAAGCCATGAACTTGTTGAGCAGCTTCTGCAATTGATCCCTGGCTTCATCTCTTTGTTGGTAAGCAATCTTCAGAAGATTGAGCAAATTCTTTACATCCTCTCTGTGCCTTCTCAATTGCTCACTTGCCTTCATTTTCACCGACTCCAACTCAATTGTCGAATATTGAAGCTTGACATGCAGTTCATCAACACTCTATCATAGTCAAAACAGGTTCTGTTAGTTTGGAGAAACAAAGTAAATTCTCCACAAAAGGGGAAAACAGAACATGAAAATATAGAAGAAAGAGGATCAAAATTCAAAAACAATGTCAAAGTTAGTTAAAATAGTACAACTCACAACAATGGGAACACGGGAATCCCATGTACTTTTGGTCAAAGAATAATCTTTTTGAGAAAATGAGAAACCCCATTAGCCCCACCATCCCAAATCCCTACTTGTGTTGATAAAAAAAGGAGAATAGTCTCCATTTCTTGCTGCCTTGTAATATCTATCACAAATTCTCATCAATCCGGACATATATCAACCCAAAATTCCAATCAGTGCGTGTTATATATGTATGAATCAGGAGATTCAGGACAGAACAACTGCACATTTATGCCAAAATAGTACTACACAACTAATATACAAACAGTTCGTGCCTGTAACATTCTGGGTTTTTAGTCAATCCAAAGGGAAAAACAATACTCAAAAACACACATGCTTTTCCCAAAACAAGGGAAAGAAGGGAAAAGAGTATATATATATAATGAAAAATTAGTTCTGTATCGACACACTGAAAATAGAAAATGGCACAGAAGAAAAACAGTGTAAATAAAACAACTCAGAACACAAACAATCCAGGGCTAATATTATGAAGCAAATCATTTTCTCTGATAAAGGGAGATTTTGAATGAAAACAACAACAAGAAACAAGGATGAAGACAAAATATACTTCACAAACTATTTACTTTACATGAAAGAACAGAAATATGAATGAGAGAAACCCACAGAGTATAATTGAGTGGGTTGCCAGCATAAACCATAAAACTGAATCGAAAAGAACAGAAAGCAAAGGAAGAAAACCATAAGAAAAAGAAGAGACAGAGAAAGAATCAACAGTTTGAGAGAAAAAACAGAAACAGAAGAGAGACCCACCTCTTGATACCACATAGAATCCAACTCCTCCATTTTTCTTCTGAGTCAGAGAAAGAGCAGTAGAAAAAGAGAAGGAAGAAACCCAAATGAACCAAAAAGGAAGGCGGTTAAGAAAAACTGTCTAGTGACTAGTGAGTCATTTATAGACCTAAATGAGGGCACAAAAGGACAACACAAAGCGGTGGCTTTTTCTCACTCGCCTATTCACAAACACCTTCACAAAGTTCTAGAAACCCCAATCACCATCAAAGGAAAGAAAAAAAAAAATAAGGAATTCCCAACTCCTTCCAATTATAAATCATAAAACCCATTACAGATTTTTCTCTGTCTCCACAAAATCATTCAAAAATCATTAAATTTTCCCCATTCTTTCAGCACCCTTGTTTCTTAACTGCAACTAAATATATTCTTCTTCTTTCCCTCCCTTTCTCTTTATACATTCATATACGTAATGGGTGAATCCAGTGATTTTCTCTTCTCTGGATCAATTACAAAATCCAGTTGGATCTTTCTTGCGTAGGATGGTTCTACATATATGGAAATGCAAACGGTTGTTTTCTTTTCTTGTTCCCATTTCTAACCTTGTATAATTAATTATTTCATTTTCGGATTTTACGCGGTTTTGTGCATTTAAGGTAAGTTTCCGAGATTGCCCTTCCGTCTGGCGGCTCCCCTGGGTCAAATAGTTAGAGAGAAAGTACCACAAGCAGCGGCAGTCCATGATTGTTGATGCTGTGTCATCTTTTTGTAGGGTGATGATACAAGTCAAAGATGGTCTACACCGCTCATTTAAATAGTCCAATAAAAAATCCATCAGTTTAATGCTTTTAACTTACATCTTGATAGATATGATTGTACGATTTATCCTTAGGAAATAGAGATTCAACTCCATAGTTGCATGCACTTCTTTTTCTTTCTATCTTTCTTTTTTTTATTATTATTAAGATTTTTATTTGTCATCTACTTAAAATTAAGTATAAATATGCACAAGAACTTAGCCTACAAGGTTAAGTAGCCTTCGTTACTCTAAAAGTTCACCTATTTTCTCGGTAACGATTCAATTCAGTCTCATAACAATTATTTAAAAGAAAAGTATAAATATGCACAAATATTACTAAAACTTACCTTAAGAATCAAATATTGTGCAGTGAAAAGATTGACTCAATTGATTAATAGTATAAAATTTTAATTTCAAACATTAAGTCCAATAAGTAAGAGAAAAAGGTAATTCTCTAATGTAAAATTTATTATTACCTTTTAAAAAATAATAAATAAATAATTTAAGATTGTAATGATTTGTTACTGTTATTTAAAAAAAATTAAAAATATTTAATTATGTAATGCAATAATGGGGATGTCTAACTAG